CATTGATCCTATGTGCACTGATGTCTGCTTGGGGTCATCCCTCGGGACTGATTGTGTATGTATCTGATATGCTTTGGTTCTGCTTGGGGTCCTCCCTTGGGAACATGTACATTCATTTCTGCTTGGGGTCATCCCTTGGGAATGACTACGTACATCTCTGATATGATATGCTTTATTCTGATGTGATTATTATAATATTTTTTGTAAAGGATATTTGTTACGTGCATTGATTTCCGCTTGTGGTCATCCCTTGGGAATGATTGCGTACATCTCTGAGATAACATGCTTTGTTCTGATATGAGTATTGTGATGATTTTTGTAAATCATATTTGTTACGTGCGTTGATTTTTGCTTGGGGTCATCCCTTGGAATGACTGCGTGCATCTTTGATAAGATATGTGTATATGTTTGTTCAGCTATGATATTTACTTATATGATGTTTTATATATTATGTATCTGACTGTCATGCAGGAAGTGAGCCCAGGGTATGGAGAGTTTTCCATAAACCTAGAGCTTACTAGAGATTCGTCTCTAACCCCGTTTGGGGATATGATTTCAGGAACACAATTAATTGAAGAGCCTTCACGGGACAAGGACACTACCCGTGGCTAGAGGTACTAGTATGAGGATATGAAGTTCTGGGTGGTCGGAGGCTACTATTTATTATAGATGTTATTTTTGGAGAATATGTATTGTTGCATAGTGTTCTATTCATTTTGGGATCATGATGTTTGATCCATTATACAGTATATGTTTTGTATATGTTTTGTACATGTGTTCATATTTGATGCATGTACATTTGTGTATTTAGATATGTGGATGTGCTGAAATATGTATACTGGTAGACATAGTGGCACGGAGCCAGTTATGCATGCACCCATGAATGGGTATATAGTCCTATATAGATATCTGGTATTTCTGAAATCATATATGGTATAAACTATTTATCAGGAACCTTGAGAGTGAGATTTGCAAATCCCCAGTTGTCCGATTTATAGAGGTTACTCTGTCCGATTTTTGTCTCCGTCCAATAAGAATTAAATTAGAAGAAGTATGCAATGTGATATGTCATGTGAATTAAGATTAACGAAAAAGAAAAAAAAAAGTTAGCTCGTATTTTCGTAAGTTAAGTCTTCTATTGTTTCTGTTTGTATCATATGTATGTAAATTGAACCGGCTCGAGACGGGGATGTTATAGTAATAATGGTGGTGTCGGTGATGGTGGCAGTGACGTAGAGGTGGTGGTGGTGGTGATAGCAGTGGCCGCAACGATGGAGGTGATAATGATGGCATAGTGGTGGTGGCAGTAGTGGTGGTGATGGTGATGACATGGTGGTGGCGGTGACGATGGTGTAGTGATGGTAACAGTGGCATAGTGGCGGTGGCGACGGTTATAGTGGTGGTGGTGACGGCAGTGGCTGCGACAATGGTGATGATGATGACATGGGGGTGGCGGTGGTGGTGGTAATGATGGTGGTGGCAGCGACGATGGTTGTGGTGGTGGTGGTGGCGATCGTAGTGGCTGCGACGATGATGATGTTGATGACATGGTGACAGCGGTGGCAATGGTGTAGTGGTGGCGGCATGGTGGTGGTGGCAGTGGCTACGATGATGATGGTGGTGGTTGGTGATGGTGGTAGTGATAATGGTGATAGTAGTGGTGATGGTGGTTGTGACGTAGAGGTGGCGGTGGTGATAGCAGTGGTCGTAGCGATGGTGATGATAATGGTGGCGATGGTGGTGGTGACAGTAGTGGTGGTGATGGTGATGACATGGCGATGGCGATGGCGATGGCGATGGTGTAGTGGTGGTAACGGTGGCATAGCGACGGCGACGATGGCGGTAGTGGTGATGGCAGTGGCTGCGACAATGGTGATGATGATGACATGGTGGTGGCAGCGATGGTAATGGTGGTGGTGGTGAGCAGTGGCTGCGACGATAGTAATGGTGATGACATGGTGGCGGCAGCGGCGATGGCGGTAATAGTGGTGGCGTCGTGGTGGTGTTGGCAGTGACTACGATGATGGTGGTGGTGGTTGGTGATGGTGGTAGTGATAATGGTGATGACAGTGGTGGTGGTGGTGGAAATGATTATGGTGGTAACATGGAGGTGGTGGTGGTACGACGATGATGACGGTGGTGACGTGGAGGTGGTGGTGGTACGACGATGATGGCAGTGGTGGTGGTGATGGTAGTGGTGAAGAGTAATTGAGAGAGATAAGTGTTTCTCATTTTGTGCCCGAAAACAAAAAAATAAACCGATTTTACCACACGAGTTTTCTATCCATTTCTGTTCCCGAGAGCAGAAATTAAAAAAAAAATTGATTCCGGAAATATTGTCATGTGCACCCTTAATCTATTATTTTGATCATAATAAAAAAAACGCCTACTCATTGTCAGGCTCAGACAATCAGTGCTTGGACTAAGCTACCTAAACCCGCAACCAAATGCCGAAGCCAGTGTTATTAAAACCGGCCCGGACCGGCCGGTTTGACCCGGAAACCGGTCAAGGAACCAAGCCGAGTAGCACATCCGATCGGTCGTGCAAATAAACCATTGTGAACCGGTTAACTCGGCCGGGTTTTAGAAAAACCAGTGATCCGAACCATTATTAAAACCCGTCCATCTTATAAGGAGACACTACCGAACATAAGTTATCACGTGTCTGTGTCCGAAGGGTTATAAAGCGCTAGCTTTTTCACGTTTTGGTCGATGTGGGAGTTCAAACGCTGAATACATCTTCTGAGACAAACCACCAAGAAAAACTGCAACTTTCCACCTTCCTTTTCTGGTATGGAATTTGTGAAAATTATCAGCGTATTGTATTCAATTTGGCAATGGCTTTTCAGAATCTTGTCCTTGCCATTCATCATCAAGCGCCGACACAAGTTGGAGGAGAGGTTGGATTTGAGTTGGGTGTGGTTTTGCTTTGAAATTTGGGGCTGAGACTTTCATTTCTGGTTGTTGATTGATGGTTGTGCAGTGGCGGTGTGGAAATGTGAGTTGTTGGAAAGGAAATCCAGACTAACACATGTTGGAGGGGGAATTTGTCTTCTGTTTTGGTTATGGATTGTTGATTGTGGGTCGCCATTGCAGAAAGCTCTTCTCCAACCGGTGCCCATAATTTTCAGAGACCCAATGCAAAACGTGAGAATAGTTTGGAGAGATGAGAAGGATGGAGGCGGGGTCGCTGTCGAGGAAAGAGACGATGTCGCCATCGTCACCGTTGAGGAAGGAAGGAGGCGGTGCTCTTCTCCAACCGGTGTCGTGTTAATGAACATGGAGGGCCCTTTAGAAAAAGGGTTAATTTTTTCCTTATCCTGTTTTATTCCCCTCTTAACCCAAGGCACCCTTGGATTTAGATATTACACGGTGACTAGCATAAAAGAAGCTAATAGGATAATTGTTCATCAAATAATAGATAAGAACTTGATACAATAGTCTATCTTATCCTATTCTTCTTATTAGGTGTATCAAACGGATCCTACAATTTAATATAAATTATAGATTTATATATATTTACCGGGTCATGCAATTGATCCAGTAACTCACTGGTTGAACCAATGACTCAGTGACCCAGTACCTTGACCGGGTCAAAGACCGGGGCCGAATTTAATAACATTGGCCGAAGCAAAAGATCCATCTAATAGTATCAAAAGATCCCCTCCGATATCATTTTTGAGAGGGATTTAAATCCTTAATCCTGGACCCACCCCGATCAAGATTGTCTCCTGTAGAAGATACCTATAATTTATCCCCAAAAAAAAGTTCATTCGACATTTTTTTAAAAAAAAAGTGAAAATATAATTTTTTAAATTTTTATAGAAATATATAAAATAAAAAAAAATAATTTAAAAATTGGAATATAATAGCTATAGAGTTTATATATTAAATTTTAGTTTTTAAAATAACACTGATATCTTTAAATTTAAAAAATATACATATAAATGGTTAGAAATATGAACTGCTATTATATTTGATTACTATATAGTATACACATAATCGCCAAAGTACACATTTTTCACAAGCACACTTTCTCTATAAAAAAAGTAATTTCTAAGAATATAGATATTAATTTTTTATTTCTTCAATTAATCATTGTTTGATAAGTTATTCTTAATTAGACCACAGCAGTTCTTGGCAAAATAATAATAATTTCAATCTTTTATGAAGAAAAAAAAACCCAAAAACTATAAAAAGGTGAAAGAGAAAGAGGGAAGGGGGGGGGGGGGGTTCTTATTATGTCATGTTGTAATCTGACCCTTGTGCTGTTTCTCGATTTTATGTCATATTCTAATTTTAAAAAATGTATTTTTTCTGTATTTTATTCCAAATTTCAAAAATTGCATTTTTCTTTTTGTCAATTGTGATTCTTTTCGCTCATAATATTACGAGTCATGACTCTTGATTATGGAACTAGGCTTGTGGCACAATATCTTTTCTATGACTAACTAATGTCAAGCATATTATATGTACACAGATTTCTGTTCATGTGGCATCCAAGTATTATAATATATATAAATAGGGTTCTTTACTCCTCATCTCCATCTATCCTCAACCAAAACAATTCCCTTTCCCAAACCGGAAACGGCTAAAAGGATCAATCATACATGCACAATATGACAATGGTACTGAATTAATATGTTAACTCAAATAATAATGCAAGGCATTGTGATATTGCAAAAGGATTTTGGAGGAAATGAGAACAGAACAAATTTTAAATAATATGTAGCTACTTTCCTGATGTTTCTCCAAAAAGAATAAAATGAGAAAGGGATGAAGTAAGACCGTGATAGTTACAGCTCTCCAAAAATGGCTTGGTCTCCGAACAAAAGTTATAGGGGTTAATCCAAGATGGAAATAAATGATTTGCAGCAACATATCGATGCCCTGAATGAAATCTTCTGAGTGCTACCATAAGCATGCATCATGAGATTGAAGTGTATCTTTCGTTGTGTGTATCAGGGTAATTCCTGTCATAGATAGCACACATTGGAATATTATGTTCCAATCCTTTCAAGATTTTCAGAGACAGTTTTCATTTTAGGCCGGATTTCAGGGTCTCCTTCAGTGCATGCTAGTGCAACATGAAACACAGCAAGTACCTCTTTCTTAACACGCACTTCTTGAAGCAGTGATGGATCGACCATTTCAGATAATGGACTTTCTTGTTCAAACCCTTTTCTTACCCACCTTACTAAGTCAGGGACTTCCATAGAAGTTGATGTGGTGGGAGATGAATCTGGTGACTTCCCAGTTAGCAATTCAAGCAAAACAACACCAAATGAATACACGTCCCATTTCTGGGTGGGTCTGCACCCAGGGACAGAAGCCTCAGGGGCTTTGTAATTGTTGGTTCTCTCTCTTTGTGATGACTTCATGTAAGGAAGAGCTCCACCCATTAAGCCACCTGTGGAGGGGTTGTTACCGGTGATGCTGATCAGCCTGTTAAGACCAAAATCAGAAATGTAGGGCTGGAAGTCGTTGTCAAGTAGGATATTGGAGGGTTTGATGTCACCATGGACGAATTTTCTTGGACTGCATTCATGAAGATAACCCAAGCCCCTGGCTGTTCCTTTGGCGATTCTCAATCTGGTGGACCATGAAAGGTTCTGAAATGGTTGGCCACTTCTCCCTGTTCATAGTCAAAGAGGATTAAGTAAAGCATTAGCTGAAAGTTTTTACTAGTAGGATTATAACATCTAGTCCAGAATGCAGATGCACATGATGAGTTATTTTTTAGTGCAACTGCAGATTTATGCTGCCTTTAATATTTTCTTCTAATAATAACAGTGAGACATAGGTGCAGTGGAAGCAAGGAAAGAGTACAAAAACAATTCTGGTAGGGCCCTGGTTAAATGAAGAGGTTACCTGAATGAAAAGCACAAAAGTGGCACTAACATGCCCCTTCTTTTCGGCCTACAAACACAAGATAATTTAAAGGAGCTAGTTTTAAAACATCCGGTTACGGTGTGTAAACTGAAATTGCTAGGTATAAAAGGACACCAAGTACTCGAAAGTGTTTGCAAAGAAGGAAAACAAAGATTAAAAAGTCAAACGACATTGCACTTGAGAAGAAAAATGGCTTGGAAGAGTGAAACTGTAACTTTTATGTGCAAGTTTTATCTTGTTAGTGATCGAAGCTCTAGAAGACTAGAAGTGGTCCCCCACAAGAGAGTGTGTCTTGCCACTTCATCTCCCAGGCACATGCTGAACCACCAGCGTTTTCTTTCGTTCTAGCAAGTGGCATGTCTCCCAACGTCATCAGTGACAGAACACAGAACCACCAGATCAAATTTCCCTCTTTATTTCTATGCAAGGAAACCTCATATATTTGTACAATATCTTTTCTCTATAATTGATATAAGTTTCTTCTCACTTTTTGTTACGATCTAATTTCAAAGTACGAGACTTGAGTCCTATATGGGAAACATAAAGGTCTGATGAGGAATTTATATAGCCTTTGAGTTCTCCTAGCTTACGAGCTAGTTTTTGGGACGAGGTTCTCCGTATCATTTTCTTTTGGTAATTATAAGAAGAACATTGGAACAAGCACAAATATTCTACCTGGGATAGTGAAAATGCCTTCTTATATCATGAGAAATAAATAAGCATTTATATTCAAGGATTGATATTTTTGTGCACTTATTTTGCTTCTAAATTTGTATTCTAAAATTAGAACATAGAAATGTAAAACCCACAAGAAAAGTAAGGTTTTTTTTCCTCCTCGCGTAAGGTTTTTCAAAAGAGATTATCTTTGTTGCTACAAATCCTTTTTAAAAATTATATACAAACTGCAAAACATAAAATTACCCATATATGCCATCAGACGAAATGCAGAAGGTACCATGGGACTGGACAAAGTCAATTCACGGATCACAATAGATTGTGTGTATATACTATATACAAATGTAAGCCATTTCAAAAAAAAAAAAAACAAAAAAAAAAAACTGACATAGAATTCGTCTTATTTAAAAAGTCACAGAATACGAGCTCAGGCATACTCCAAGTCACTAAATAAATATTCCTATTTAGGCAAAGGAATAAAAACTAATTTGTATGTCACATGTGTAATTGAGTCCAAAATTACTATATAAGTGTTTGATGCTTCTATTTATTAATTCATGTATGAACGATTAGTCATTTTCAACTCGTCCATGGCATGTATCAAGTTCAAAACATCCACCTATTATTAATTCATTCTTATTCTTTTACGCTTATTAATATTGCATATCAATACCATTAGTAGTCAGCAGTAGCATTTACACCCTTGGCCCGTATTCCGTTTGATTAGGTGGCCATGTCTTTCCACTTCTGATTCAATGCAACACAACACAACAACTGAAAGCAATAAAAAAAAAGTGAAATTTGAAAGAACTAACCTCTAAGGGCATTGGCCAAATTGCCATTGGAGATGAAATCACTGATGATAAGCTTCTCATCATGAGCCCAATAATAAGCTCTTAACCTCACAATGTTAGGGTGCTTAACCTTCCCAATGGCATGCACCTCTGCAGCAAACTCCTTGTACCTATGTTCTCCACCCTCCCCTAATCTCCTAACAGCCACAGGCACCCCATTTGCAAGCACCACCTTATACACAATCCCCAACCCACTCTTCCCCAACACATATGCAGAAGACCTTAAAAGCTCATCAAGCTCAAAACTCAAACCTTTATCAATGTTCACCAATTCCCCTTCACCTTTCCCTTCCCCATCTACCTCTACCTCATACTCATCATCCTCATTCTTCAACCCATTGATACATGGGAACGCACTCGCACACGCACACACATTTTCTTTCTCATCATCATTCCCACCAAACTTGCTCTTCCCAGTGCAGCTACACGCATTTGAATCATCCTTCTTCTTCCAATAAACATACACAATAACAAGCCCAACTAAAGCAACCCCAGCTGCATCACCCGCTGAGATTAAAATTATCAAACCGGGACTCAGACCTTTCGAACCGGGTAACTTACCCGGTTCGCGGGAGGATGAACCGGGACCAACCCGGTCTGAACCGGTGCATTGTTTTCGAAGAGGAAACCCGCAAAGGTTCGGGTTACCGAGGAATGCTGTTGGACCCTGGTTTGAAAACGACCCCGTTTGGGGAATCTCGCCGGTTAGGTTGTTGTTCCGGAGGTCGAAGCTCACCATCGCCGGTAATTTCCCCAGAGACTTCGGAATTCTGCCGGAAAAGTGATTGAACGAGAGGTTAAGCGTGCCGGAGAGTGACACGAGGTCGCCGGTGTCCTCTGGGATTGAACCTTCGAATTCGTTATCGGAGAGGTCGAGCTGCATGAGATTCTTTAATTCCGGCCACACGCCTGTCGGAACCTCGCCGGAGAATTTGTTCCCGGCGAGGATCAGTTTCTGGAGCTGCTTGCAGTTCTTGAGGTCGTCGGGGATGTGGCCGGAGAAGGAGTTGTCGGAGAGGTCGAGGTTTTGGAGGCGGGGGATGTTGCAGACGGAGGGGGGCAAGGGGCCGGAGAGGTTGTTGCGGTGGAGGAAGATGCTGTGGAGTGCGGTGGCGTTGAAGAGCTGGACGGGGAGGACGCCGGAGAAGTCGTTGTCGTGGAGGTTGAGGCGGCGGAGGTAACGGAGAGTGCCGAGCTCCGACGGAATGTAGCCGCGGAGAGATTTTCCGGCGAGTGCAATCCCGACGACGCGGGGCTCAGTGACACCGGAGATGTTGGCGCAGGAGATTCCCGACCAGCCGCATGGGGTGGGGTCTCCGTCGTTCCAGTCGGAGAATGCGGCAGCGCCGGCAGGTTGGTCGACGGCGGATTTTAGAGTGAGAAGGGCGAGGCCGTCGGAGGAGAGAGAAAGTGCGAAGCCGAAGAAAAACTGAAAGAAAAAAAGAAGAAAGGGACAAAGTGTCATTGAGGATTTTTTGTTTAATTCTTTTTAACGGAACGACACCGTTTTGGGGAAGATGAAGAGGAACTGATTCTGTTACTGTGCAGTTGCAGTGTGGTGGTAGTGTTATGAGATAATGGGGTATAGAAAAAATGGTGATGGGGGGTTTTCGGTTGGAACAGAGAGTGAGTGAGGGGAAGTAAAAATAGGTTGTTGAATTTATGAGAGACATGGTTTGGTTGGTTTGTTTTTAATTTGGTGGGGTCCATTTCCCGCCAAAAATACTGAGATACTTGCCAGTTGCCAACCCAAAGAGTGAAAGAGACAATGAGTGAAGTGTAATGTAAGACAAAAAGTAAAACAAAAGAGAATGCTTCATCTTTACTTGTTTGCACACTTAAAGCCTCAAATTATATCATTAGATTTATTTATTTTATTCAATGGTGGCAATTAAATTTTAACTTATGACATGCAAATTATACAAATTTCTCTCCACCAAACCAATTCTAATGATTGGAGAAATTAAAAGATGCAATATCTTCACAAAAAAAATGGCTCATTATAATTTCAGAGAATGATGATGTGAACCTTGAAGTAAATTATTTAATTTCATTTTGGAATTTGGGGGGAAAAATACAAGGTAGAGCATACAAAAAATAGTTAGAAACAACCAAATTCAGTGATGCTACAAAGCCTAAACTTAAAGAAACATTTTGGTAGAGCATACGAAAATAAGATTTGAATATTTGAGCGCCCTAGACTAGTATAAATTCAAGGACATTATATTATATTTTCGGTTACCATGGGCCTTATCGCCACTACATTTTGCACTACGGCACTAAAGACTAATAGTGAGTGACTAGTGCTATCCCTTTCTACAACCAACCACCACTTTCTCACTCATAATTGCAAGGTAATACCATCATCAACACTTCTTCTATACCTTACTTCTCACAGCAATTACGGTCAATTGTTTCTTTCCGTATTATGTAATGCAGATGGACCCATTCTCTTCTGCAATTTTATGCAATCGTTGAGCAGAACAATAAACTACAATTACGTCTCCATCAAGCAAATCAAACTTAGAAGCTAACAAAGCCACATGAACTATTACATATTAACACAACTTGTTTTCAGTATTTCTGGTGCAAATAATTTCAGTAATGATTTCTATCAGCGAAAGATAAAAAGAACTTTAGATATGCCCATGATATCTTCCCTCGTGTTTCAAAATAAGACACCTTAAATCCTTCCCGACGAATAATTACATACAACTCCAAGAGACAAAATGAATTAACAGTTCTTTGCTTTGTACTCAAGGGATATAATTGATTGGTGCCAAATGAATCCAACTGTTACATTAAATAAATAAAAAGAAGATGAATTCTAACCAATGTTTTAAAAATAATTACCACACCAGCCGATCAAACAGGTGTGATTCAAATCCAATTACTTCTTATTAAATTGTCAAGTACGACCCTAATAGAACCATTAACTTTAGCCACATGAATCCATCGAACAATGACCCAACGGTTCGATCATCTGTTCAATTTTTGAAACATTAATTCCAACTGCACCCAAAACAAACAAACAAAAAAAGTAACCCTGCTTGCTGTAACACTTGAGGAGCCATTCTATAGTGGAATAGGAAAACCACCTCTAAGTTTGTATATGGCAATATTTTTTTTATCAAACTCAAATTGAAGAGATCCAGAGAGAAAGATAGGGGTAGAGGAAGTCTCCTTATTATTGCCATATTATGAAAATAACCAAGCTTACCTGAAGAGTAAGACATTACTGTCTTCAGGATGTTAACGTGCCATGCATTCAGCATCTGTATCAACAGTTCACTAAGGTTAGTATTCATCATTATTCAAAACTCTATTACCCACCTCAGTTTGCATCTTCCAAATTGTGCCTTCATTGCTTTAGGATCTCTTGCCTACACCCCATTATTAATTCTATCCATGATGGTTTCCAAGCTTTAAACCTTCAATGCCATGTTATCAATCTCTCATCCTACTAGAGTCCTCAATTATTATTTACAGGGGCCTTTTCTTCTGCATTATTTCTCAGTCCAGAGAGAGAGTTGAGGCTTTTCCCTTTTAATGAGAACTGGAGGTAAATATAATACAGATAATGCATTTAAAGATGTTATTACTAAGGAAATGAGAAATCTGCCAAAAAAAAAATATGTAACATAATCATAAGAATAATTGCCCCCTTTTTATCATGCTACATTGCAATCCATTTGCACAGATGACAATAAGGATCATACAACATGGCAACCTCAAAATCTAATAAGACTTCTAGTGAAATTGCAGCACACTGATTTTAACCCATCTAAATATTGTCAACCTAGAACACACCACATTGAAATTTCTCCTGCCATAAAAATTTAGAAATAAACGATCTCAGAATGGAGAATAAAGGAGGGTTCAAATTTCTTCTGAGATGATAACAGCAGCAGAGGTTCAAGTTTCATTATATTCGCTATTTTACCGACACAACAAAATGGGCAAATTCAAGTTGCAAAAGCATGAAAACTTACAACTAGAATTTACTAGAAACATACAGTTTCGAATTCTACACTGTCAATAAATGCATTAGACTACAGTGCACAAGCTGCAACATAAGTTCAATTTCTTGACATAGCTGTCTTTAAATGTGTGACTTGAATATGGTTGCAAACTATCAACTCATTCCACTAAACTTTATTTCCAGTTTCATTTCCATACCAACAGCTAAAACTTGTGTAGACCTTGCACCCAAGATACTCCGTAATACCTTCAGCCAATTTAAGAAGCAGATGCTTCAGAGCTGGAGCTCACATTCTGAGACACGGGCGTGGAGGGTGGAACATATATTCGCGCTTTCTTGAGAACTTCAGCAACCATCCAATGTTTACGCTTGCTCAAAGGCCTAGAAGGATCCAACCGAACCTAAAAACGACAATGGAAAAAAGCAATTGCTTATTGAATTTTCTTGCAAAACCAAGATTAGAACCAATCAAGTGACAAGAACGATACACAAAAGAATTGAATTTGACAAATGAATCAACCAATAAGATGGGTAAGTTCATGTTACTAACTCTGTCACCAATGTTACAAACATTGTGCTCATCGTGAGCCATGAATTTAGAGGTGCGCTTGACATATCGGTTGCACAATTTGTGGAAGAATAATCTATCCACTGCCACCACCACTGACTTCTGCATCTTATTGGAAACCACCATTCCTACCACTTGCTTCATCTTCACTCCGAACCCAAAATCCCTAAATCAGATTCACATGTTCAACGTCATAGTAACAAATAAAATCATTAATGTCATAAAATAAATAATAAAGATTATCCAATAAAACTATGATATCTAGAAGCCCTTGTATCTTTCTTTTTCCCAAATTCCACATAAATATTGCACTCACCTACATCATTTATTTTAATTAGCAAGCTTTCACATGTTACAGATGACTGACACATTTTCACAGACATTCTACAGGCATCGTAGTAAACTACATTGAATTCCACTAAAAACCTTAAATAAAACGAAAGAAACCAAGAAGGAAATCAAACCTTAGAAAATCACCCGAAGGATGCTTCAATTTTCTTCGCAGTATCTAGCCGTAAAAGCGAGCCGATGCCGGTGTGGCGTGGCGCTTCAATTCAATGAGAAGAGTGAATGAAAGTCTGGACCTTAAACCCTATCGCACTCTTTTTCAGTGATTTTGTTTTTATTTTTTGTTATTTTTTCAAAGGGGTTTTTCACATATTCGATAAATTCTTATTAACGGGCAGTACGGCACTTCTCTTCTCTTTACAAAAGAAATAATATTTTCATTATGAAATATTTATTTTCTTAGGGAAATGATATTGTGACAATCAAGTTGTGTTTCTACCAAGTGACTACCAATCAATCTCACTGTTAGATCGATTATGTTGATTCAACGGTTATATTTATTTTCACCTTTGTATGGTTATGATTTCTCATATTTAATGCTAAAAGCTGGGATCAACATAACCACTGCATTAAATATGAGAAATCATAACCATACAAAGGTGAAAATAAATATAAAGTATTAAATTTGAAAAATTATGACCATACAAAGATAGAAATAAATATAACCGTTGGATCAACATAATCGATCTAACGGTGAGATTGATTGGTAGTCACTTGGTAGTAACACAACTTGGTTGTCACAATATCCTTCCCCATTTTCTTATCATAAATATTTTCATAAAAATAATTATACTTTTATTATAAATGTTATGGGAAAAATATTTATGTTTTTATTATAAAAAAAATTTCTCGTCACACTCATATAAAAGTAAATAAATTTTATTATAAAAAAAAAATATTAATAAAATTCACTTACTTTTATATGACTGACAATAAAAAAAATTATGCAAAAAAGATAAAAATATTAAATCCAAAAATTATATAGACAACTTTTTTTTAGTACATCAATGGGGCAGAGTCCAAAACAAAAGAGTTTTATTACAACAACAAAAGGAGTTTTTTTGTCAGTACAACAACTTAGTCACTTCTCTTCCCTTACAATTTTACCCGTAAAAGAGTTTTTGTAGGGATAAAAATTGTATATGTATGTGAAATATTAAAAAAAAAAAAAAAAAAAGTTTGCCTAATGAAAAACTGATGTGCATGTTAAATGTTAAATGAAGAAGATTTGTAATATCTCTGATTCTATTTGTTCTCTACTCAAGAAGAGAAAAAAGTTAGCCGAGCATTAATTAAGAAAGTGAGTCCATTTGTTTAAATCAAGTTCAACTTATTATTCTTATATATTCTTTTATCTTAATGAGTTAGGTTCACGCCTTATATTTAATAATTTTCCATTTAATTTTTTTAATTAAAAATTCATTAAGCATAAAAAAAAAACTTTAAAAAAAAATATAGATATATATGCACAGTAAAATAAATAAAAAAAACATAAAATAATTAAGAAATTAACCAATTGACAACTCGCAACCTATGTTATAAAAGTAAGGTACCTTCAACGAGTTAACAAATTATTAACTCCATAACAAGTACCAAGAGGGATTTGATTAAACATAGATTATGACTGCATGTGTAAGCCTAAGGGCACCACTCCGATGAAGTATGGGTGTCAAGAATGGGGAAATATTTAATATGCTTCAGGATCATCCAATGATTTGGTGCTCTTTCTCATGACATTAATTTTTTCTTTTCTTTTTTATCCTTACTGTTTTTCTTCTTTTCAATTTTATCCTTCCACTTATATTAAGGAACCACCTAAAAAATGGTGGTCCCGGATCACAATAAATTCTCTTCAAGAATGGGCAAGCTGCTTTAGATCATTCTATTTTTAGCTTGTGTTGAATTGGGCATAAGGTATTTTGGGTCAATATTTTATCAGGTAGTTCTTTTCTCCTCTCTTTTTTAGGAGACAGCCTAGTTCAATTTAATGTAAGCTAATGTATTCATTTAAAAAAAATTATATTAAAAAATTTGCATTAATAAAATTTAAGAAATTTGAAAAACTTGGTTTTGGGATGATAATAAACAAATTACGGAACTAGCCCATTCACTAATTGGGCCTCAATTCTTGGAATAAAATAAGTTTTTAAGTAGCAGGATATAAGGTAAAGGAAAAATAAGGTTATGTTTGATTTTGCAGAACAGTTTTTTAATTTTAAAAAATTAAAAAAATTATTTGGTAAGAGTATTTTGTAAATTCAGTTTTAAAATTTTTTTAGTTCTTAAAACTAAAAGCAAAACAATTTATTTTCAAAAGTTATTTTTTGTTATTTTTTGTTTTGGAGGTGGTATTTTTGTAAATATGAGAATTCATTAATGGTATTTTGGTAAATAAATTTATTTTCAACTTTAAATTACTTTACCTCGATGTATACACAAAGATCATGATAACCAGGATCGATTTCCCAAGAATCCAGAAAACCTTCAGGGCCCGTATGGTACGTGGATATATAATTTTTGGGTTTTATAAGAGTTATGTTGTAGGAAAAGTGATTGTGTAATGTTATAGAGATTCGTTTTGCGTGACTTAATTTTTTATTTATTTTTTTGTTTTAAAAAGTGTGGGCCCCACAAAATGTTGTGAGTGTAAAAAAGTTTGTTGTGTTATGTTAAAGGATAAAACGAAAACCCATAATTTTTCCCTAGGAAAGTTATACTGCCATTCTTTCTTTACCATGTTTGGTACACAGACATGTAAAATAATGATTGACAAAAACATTTCCCAGTATTTGATATAACACATAAGAATCCGGATGGAGAATGCAATCGAAAATATGGAATTTGAGGAATCCAGCTTTGTTGGATTATGGAATGTGAAATTTCAAACAAATCTGCCCTTCATCATATCGCGCCCTAGGTTTCGTCCATTGTTGAAACATAATCCATTTGTTAGACATGAAGCCATAGTTTATCATGTGATACACAAAAGGGATTTGCCTGAAACTTGGCTACCAGATTTGGTCCTAGACGTTCGCCGGTGTGTTTGACGACGGATTGGAGTAGTCTTCCTCGGGTCCCATCACTAGTACGAGCTGAAGGTTCATTTTCCTTCCACTATTTGTCTTCTCTTCACTTATTCTCTTTGTTTCACAATAATATTCACTAGCAAAATTGATTATCCCTACCTTTTCTTTTTCAAAACAAGAAGACGTCATAGCGTACGTCTAAAATCACGGTGCGTCTGTTATTTTTCTCTCTAGTTCCCCCCCCCCCCCAATTTATTGGTTGGATAAGTAATATGTTCTGAAATTTTGTTTTTTTTTGTTTTTTTGTTTTTTATGCCGACAGAACTATGTTTGTGTCACTTTAGAGAAATGTCTGTGTGTCAATTTTCTTTCTTTTTCTCTGGATGGTGATTGTATGTTTTGATTATATGTTTAAACCCCAAGCATGGCTCGGTGTTTGAGATTAATGTTAGGTGTGGCAGCTGCAAACTCTTGACCAGTTACATCATGAGGCAATATGTTATGGTGTGGCAAATGCATTAAGTTAGACCATAAGCTATCATAAAAACGGTTTACTGTAAATTATGTTGAGTTTTGAGGCTAAGTGGTATGCAGGTTGACACACCATGTAAAGAAAAAACAAAAAGTGAGTAAAAAGAAAATGGAAGAGTGCTACTTTTGATTATAAGTTGAAGGCATGTAGTAAACACATGAAATTCTGATAATGTTTTGATTAATATTCTTTTTTTGTGGTCGGTTTCTAGTCCATAGAACTCCCACAAATCTCATCAGTTTCCAACCTAACACACTTATCCGATGTCATATTTATCTAAAAAATCAAATTTTATTAACAATATTTTTTCATCCTAGGCCAGTTCTGTTCATAATACATACACACTTTTATACACCACCTGTGTATTCTCATTTCCGTTATTTCAATATCCATTTAGAAAGTTTCTTGTTGGTTGTTGAGGCAGGGAATGAGAAGTTCAAATAACTACTTGAGATTTCATTGACATGTTTTATTTTTGGTTTGAATTATCTTCTCACATATGAGAAGCTTTCTTTTCATTTCTATTGCTTCCTCAGCGATCAGAGGGACATTAGTTTTTTGATATCTAATTTTCTTTCTTCACTCTCTCTGTTATTGTTTTTCATGCATGATGATGATTTTTTGTATAGGCACTGAGTGTTAATCTTGTGTTGTTTGGACTTGTTTAATGATTTTAAATGCATGTTATTGTCTGTCTTTCTTGCTATTTAGGTCTTATGGGGTTCATTATGTTTGCATTTAGAGTTGTTTGTTGCATGTAATAATGCTACATATTGAGGAAACATCTGGGATTTTTAATGCTAACTTCTGAAAGAAATGGATGAAAATGTTGCTTCTTTTTCTCTATGTTGAATGATGATATTATTTTCTTGTGTGATTTAGCCTCAGACAATCAAGATTAACCAACCAGACCAAGCTTCCAGTGGGGGTCAAGCTGCTCAAAAGTCGGCTTGCTGTGGCTCATGAACAGAATCACACCTACAGTAAGAGGGTGCAGATTCAACATTTGCCCTCATCTGGGTGCTAAAGTTATTTTGATGACATTAGAAGTGGGTGCATGTATTTGTCCCTACACTTCCCAACTGCAAAGGTTATGTTTTGAAGATACTATTTCGAATTTTTTTTTCTCACCTTGTGTTTGGATGTCCGCGTGATTAGTTCATTTTCTCCCCCACTCTCCTCTTTCATTTGTACTTTGACTAATTAAAAACATCTCACTTGACTAGATACAAATAGATCATAAGAAAAACTTTTATCTCTTGGAAATAGTATCTCAAAAGTTCTTATTTTGATGGTTGGCTTAGGAATCTAGACAACCATAAGTTATGGTGGGGAAAAGAAAAAATCCAGTGCTATTTCCCAGGAAAGGTCGTATGCCATGCTTACTAAAATGGCACTTAGCTTTTAGGATTATTTGGGTGTGATGTTGATTTGAGAAGCTTGATCTTCAACAGAGACGTTTCCCTCTATCCCATACCTAATGATTGCATGTGTTTGATCTTTCAATAACAAAGTGAATAACTGAATATAGTTCAAATATTCATAATGGCCTCATATTTGCAAATAATTGAATTACATTATGAGGAGTAACCATCTAAGCTATAGTACAAGTGATGTTGAGAACTTTTTGTTGACAAGTGGTCTTCTGTGTTTACTACTCTTGATTCTTTTCCCTTGTTGTACTGCAGGAACATTTGTTTCTGAACTACTTCATTT